TACCTGGGATGTGAAAATTTTATGGGTCTTGATGGTTTTGCATACAGTTTTTCATTTTGATCAAAAACATTTGCAGTTTTGAGGTTTTGGATGTTTTTTTCACGGTTTTGTGGTTTCTAATAGACCCTAATGCCCCCTGGCTGATTGCCATTCATTCCCTCAAAGGAGCTTTAATTACAGTGAGTGCCTTTGCAAACAAGGCCTCTAGAAACGTGACGAAAACAAACTTGTTTACTTTGTCGTTCAAGAGTGTCAAACGATGTTTTCTAGGTAGATAAATACAGATCTTGGAAGATGCGTAGTAGTAATTCATTCTCCAAGTCATAATAATAATAATAATAATAATGATAATAACTAGTATTTATATAGCGCTCGTATATAAAAAAAAAAACTCTCATGGCGCTTTACAATAAGTATAAGAAATTAATTAAAATTGATTTAAAAACGAACACAATAGCTGTCGATAAATATAGAAAACAAATATGTTTTTAGATTCTTTTTAAATAAAGGCAGTGTTCCGACATTTCTGACGTGGTTAGGCATCAAGTACATCATCTAGCGGTAACTCCTGAGAAAGGTAAGTTTACCCATCTTCTATCCAATTGTTATGAAAACCTAAAAAATCCCTAGCGTAGGAGATAAATGAACTAGGTTTGAACGGTCAAAACGATATCTTAGTCAATTTTCAGAATTAAGCAAACGCAAGCTTTGACACAAGCTCAACTTTGCTAACATAATGAGTTCTATTGCTTTGCGTCGTTTTCGAGATGTTAGTGGATAAAAGCTAGAAAGATACCTGCAGGTTTGAGGCTTCTGGTAACCTCATTGGTGTGTAAACTATGCACTGATGTGCTTCTTTAGCCCGATTTACGCCTGCATTTTGAAAAATACCTTCTTACAAATTAGTGAATTTTTGATGTGCAAACCAAGGTCGATTAGGGAAGGGTCTCCTCTCATCACGCTGGTATGAAAAACATTTTTGGTGAAGTTTCCACATTTTGTCTGTGAACTGACTGAATACAACTTGTAGTATTGCTTGTAGCGAGAGAGATTTCCGTGAAACTGTTTTTGAAACATGTGTCCTAAACCCTTTTCATGGGCAGAAAATTAGCGCAAACATTTTTTCGAAGGGAAATCGAGAGGACCGCTCTTGGCGAGAGCGGCACTTAATCGTTAAATCTCCATGAACCAACCATCGTAACAATAACTCACATTTCTGTAACGATCCTCTTTAATTTCTTGATCTCCTTTCGTCCGTGATTGTTTACGTCGTTTCAGGCGATATTTTTCAGACTTCTTCCATCGTAACTTAGTTTCTGTAACGTCTGCCATATTGTTTTCAATTTTAACCAAATTCATATACGAATCAGTCGATTGTCACCTGACGGAAACACAGGGGTCAAGTACTGCACATGCGTAAGATTCTACAAACAACACGGCGGACTTTCGAAGGATGACTAGCGACTAAATACAGGAATGGCTCCGACCTGTGATTTGATCATAAAAATAGTAGAAGTTAATAAGTTAGGTCTTAACTCCTTGCTCATGGGTATTGTTAACCGCGTGTCTCGAAGCGGAACGATGAAATATCAATGTGAAAACACCGATGAATCAAACAAGAAATGGCTACTTAGACAACGAAGAGAAGGCAGAGTCTATCTTGTTCAGCGAGGTCGTTCAGCGATATTCCGGCGATGAAAAAGTCATTCGCTGACAAGCTCCGCTGACAAAACTCATTTAGTCAGTTTAGACGGACGACCAGAGACTGGAACCATTCGTGTATTTAACCCCAGACAAGAATGGCTCCAACTCATGCGTATATTAATTTTTTTTCGTTCTGGCTAGGTAATTTATACACTAAGATGAAAACTGAAAGAGCGATTTATTAAGTTCTTCTTATGTTGAAGTCTACAGTGCTTGCAAATAAAGCCCTCTTTTATCTCTACAGGGCTATGTAGGTTCTAGGTTTTAAAATAATGCAGCAACTGCATGTCACGTTTGGAAAATCACGCAATGTTGCGTGACGCTGCGACCGATGTTTTTAATTTACAGTATGCTCTGGTAGAGAAATATGGCTTGGCCGCAGTCGGGGGAGTTTTTTTCGTGGAAAACTGATTTTTTAGGTTATTGATCACATGAAGGACAAATCCATTCATCGGGCTCTTCATCTGTTTTTACACAGCATATAAAGGAAGAAAGTCGCGGATTGATTTTGCTTGGTAATTTCTAACAACTCCACTAGACCTAAAAAGGGAAAAAAACAAAACAAACCAAAAAAAACCTCTTACCAGTTAAACCAGTGGCAGTAGCTCTCGCACTGAATCGTGTCGAAGTACCTTGACTGTTTTCAGTGACGGAACAAGAAAGAGTACAATGATTTTATAAAACTTGTTCTAAAAGTAATGAAGGCTGTTAATCACATGACGCTGTATTGGAACGAGTAAATCTCGTTTACTATTGTATCACACTACTGTTTTAGTCAAGGTATTTATACCATTTAAATTTAAGAAAGAATGAGTAGAACATAAACCACATTTTCTGTAAAGTACACGAGCCATCCTAACTTAATTTGCTAACTGCTTTCCAGGAATTATCTGTAAAAAACTGCTTCAATTTTTCAAATTTGAAAAATTTTAGCTAAAACTGTGGCTCCCCAAAATATTTCTCACCTTGCCTAAAAAATTTTCAAAAGAAATTTTCAAAATTTTCACAACTTTACCTATTGCTGCTCGTAGGTCCAGCCAAGCCCATATGGTCATTGGCCCCCGCAATTGCCGCTCACAATGGCTCATAAATGTAGGCGTTTTGTCGTAACTTGTAAAACTCCCTGAAGAAGATTGCGGGATTGCCCGCATTGATTCGCGCATGAAAAAAAATAGAATTGGAACTACGTTCGTAATTCTTGGACAATTTTGGCGTTGGAAACGCAAAAAGCGGCAGAAGATAGTTAAAACAAAGAAAACAGAAACGACTCTCGTGAGTTTGTTGTGCAACAAACACAGGTGACTTCCTTTCCAGGCTCTCGAAGTAAACAAGTCATTCTTTTAACAATTTTTTTTAACAATTTGTTTGGTCAAGATGGCTGGATATTAGATATATTAACCTCATTAATTTTTTGCATTTTTATGGACTTCGACATCGTATCGGTCCATAAAAATGCCAAAAAAGGACTCAGCCAATATCCAGCCATCTTGACCTCACACTTGGTTAATAACGCATATTTGTTGCAACATTTCTGTTTCAGCAAAACTTTTTCGTGTTTTAAAGATCACCTGGGTTTCTCGAGATTGCTCTGGGTACAAAATGGATAGGACTGGTGAACTTAGTGAGGAAATGAAGGCTACTAAAGAAGTACAAAAGATTGTCGACGAGGTTTGTTTAGAACTCGTAACTACGAGCAAGCGCGGGACATAGACCACAGGAAGCCCAAGAGTAATGTGTGTGATTTTGGGTTCTAAAGGTTATTAACGGAAATTCCATAACAAATTAAGATCGAATTTTGAGCGTAAGGCCAAGCTCAGCCAGGATTTCAGAGTTTATCTAGTTGAATAGTAGCACAATACGCGTTCCAAAGAAAGTCGCTAAAACAGCGTTAAAAGGACTGTAAGCGACAGAACACCTACGAAAAAAAGGTAGGGAGACTTGACACGTTATATTCCTCGCTTTTATTATCCTTTCGAATTTTTTTGGGATTTTTCCTTTTTTTTGAACGGCTCACGCTTACGCTTAAAATTAGATCTTAATATGTTAGGTATTCCCGTTAATGACCTTTAGACCCCAAAATCGCACACAGTACGCTTGGGCCGCCTGTGCATACACTAGCAAGGAGTATAGTAAAAAGTTTGTAACTATATTTAATCACACATTTCTCGTTTCCTCTCGCTATTAGCAATGACAGGTCCAGACCTTGAGCTAAGGGGGTGGGGGGGGGGAAGGGGGCAGTTTTTTGTGGGTATTTACACCTGCAGGCTTTTCTTTCCTCTGTTTTTATTTTTTAGCCAAAATAAGAGGGGGAGGCAGGCCCCCTGGACCCCTTCCCCTAGATCTGCCACTGACTAGTAATTTGGCTTGACTGTGTCTCGCCAAAATACAAAGTATGGCTCAACATTATTCGCTTCATATACAAATGTGCAACTGAAGCATGCCCAAAAGTTAGGATTTGGAAAAATTATAGAAGTGTAGCAGAAATCTCTATAAAAGAAGTCTAATAAAATTATATGCAACAGTTGAAAGTTAATCTTAACTCTAGATTTGATAGGTCTGTCAACTTTTACATCACAGCATCCTCACTTGTTCTTCCTTCTAAAATTCTCTGCCCCCTTCCCCTCTTCATTAAGAAAGAAAAATAAAAAAATTCGGACTAAAAATTTCCTGTGGACCCTCTTCTATGGCAAGTACGTTGAGACTTACTTGAAGTCTGACCTTGGTACTGCACAGTAGATGGTCAAAGTCTCTGGCTTTATCAAAAACAAGTAACACGCTATGCAGAAAATTATCTGGTTTGTCTCAGAATTTATATGTTAGGAGATTATTTGAGAAGTCCTTCGCTGCAGATCACGTGATCACAGTTAAGGAGCATACTCTGGGAACTTAAACCAGAAACCACATAGGAAAAATCTTAACCCAGTTTGTGCACACCAATCTAAAAACAATGTATTTATTTTTTTTGCTTTAAAGGAGGAAAAATTGCAGCCAACCAATGATTTCCCTTGCAAAAACCAAAAAGAAATCAAACAAATGCCCGACTGCACAACCAAAATCTGAACCCCCATCAGGTTTTTCCTTAGAGGCAATGCGGTCAGAGTTATTTTAGGTCTGAATTTCAATTAAAAATGGTCAAATTTTGTGCCATTTTGTCCTTACCAACCTTAATACACAAACTATGCACTTTGCTATACATGTGCTGGTATGGAGAAACATAAATTTGTTTAAAAATTAATGAAAATATTTTGAAAATCTCTGGTATCTATTTTGTTTAGGTTAAGAGCCAGGCTGAGACAATGGCTGGTACAAAATTCAAGGAATTTAAAGCCATTTCTTATAGAACTCAACTTGTAGCTGGTACAAATTACTTTGTGAAGGTTTGTATTTGGTATTTGTAGAGGTCTCATGCGGTAAATACTGTTACAGAATAGCTTTGAATGGTCAAAATAACAGTCTCCCCTCCTCTTGAGATTGTAGTTCGTCACTAAATTTCATAGAGATGGCCAAGCGATATAAGTCTCTTCGAGGCTGTAGAACATCTACTTATATATCTCTCAATAAAAATGGAATCCAGTTAATTTCATTAAACATAGTTAGTGTGCGCGTTGTTCTTTCAGAGTCCAATATGATGCGTGCAACTCTCTTCTGCATCTGTAAGACTCTTTCTAGCAATTTCTTACTGCAAGATGACCAAATTGGACTGAGGTACAACATGACTGGCTCTATAACAGCCAGACAAAAAATTAACCTGTGCCTTTGCTTGAGATAAGGACTAATATGCCTCAAAATTCCAAGTCGTTTTGACAGTTTCTTCCATAAATCAACCATGTATGCTTCAAAGCTAAGATCTTTATCAATGATTAAACCAGAGACAACTGCTGTCATGCAGGTTAAGCTCAGCCAGGATTTGAAACTTTACTACCTTATTGATAATTTGAAGTAGTAACCTTGTATCATCTCCTTGTGAGGATAACCTCTGTTTTATTTCTCAGGTGCATGTGGGTGACTCTTCCTATGTTCATTTGCGCATAGAGCAAAGTTTACCACAGGATGGATCAAAAGTTGAGTTAATAGCCATCAGGACTGGAATGTCGGATGATGACAGCTTGGATTACTTTGGAGCTGATGGAAAAAAATAGTTTTTTTGACCAATGAAAATAATGTTAGTTTGTTTAGATAACGATTCAATTTGAAATGTCTTTTTACAGCTTAAGAGGTAAAAAAAATTCATAACTGTTTGCACAAATTTGAAAAAAAAAAAGAGAGAATATTAAGTTTTGTAACTTTTTTTTCGTTTAAGTTAACTTTTTGTAAGTGAAGCACTACTCAACAAAGAAGGAAGGCATGAACATTTAAAGGACTTAATGCACCAACTCTCCTTTAGTGATACAATAAAGGCATCTGAATGAAAAGGAGAATGTGTGTTTTGATATCCAGATATTGTGATAGGTAAAGTCTACTCTCAAGCTTAGTGGCCCACTCTCCTGGAGCTTCTCCTGGCTTCTGTACCATGTTACTGGATGGGATGCTAGTCCATCAGGGTTGCTGTCACCCTATTATACTCCTGAGTGGGGAGAGCATTAGGGTTTGAACAAAAGCCAACCCTGCCCGAGAGCTTGAAGCTGAACCCCCAAACACAAAGTCTAGCTGGTTAAGGGTAAAAAACAGTCAATTCAACTCCTTTTTTCCTATGCATTGGACCAATTTTGACCAACAGGTTAATTGAGATGATCTACAATTCAAGTCCTCCTTCATGGAACTTGTCTCTCTAAGAAAATCAAATCCCATGTAACTTGAGGAAAACATGTTTAAGTTCCCTGTTTCCCACTGCCTTTCTTGATGAGATATGATTCTTACTCACAGTGATGCTTGATCATGTGAAGAATCATTCTGTAATAACCAACTTGTAACTATTGTCTGCATCATTTAACTATAAGCCATTGACAATCAAAAGCAGTAAGCTCACGGGGACATTTCGTACCAAACATATGGGGAATCAGCCTAATTGAACTGAATGATTATTAGTAATTTTGACTGCCAAAATAGAATATAAATGAAAGTTGTGCTGCACAAAATATTCATTTTTAATTGAATCAGTCATAACAATCAGTGCATATCAAAGAGCCATGGAGAGAAGCATAGAAACAATCACAAATGAGATACTCTCAGTGCTAACTCTGGTGAGAAATACAGAACGTTATCAATCAAAGATAACAACTCTCTTTTTAATATTTACCAAAAACAAAGGTTTCTATCGAGACCCATAAATTGTGTATTATTTTTTAGCAGCTTTTGTTTTACCAAAATTCTCATGGTGCTTGCTGAAAAGGACGGTATAGTTTGCAGGCAGTAACTCACTTCCTGGTTTACCCTTGCGAAATGGATTTTGGAATTCCTAGGAATAAAGGTGTGAATTTTCACAGTAAATTCGGACTGGGAATTCCCAACCATGACAACTCTGGTTCTAAAAACCTAGAAATTCCTAGAAATTCCCAGAAATTCCAAGTTCCAGGAAAATTCCAAGTTCTAGGAATTCCAACTCAGAGAACCGATGACTTTCCCTGAAAAGCTGTAAATCTAAAAAATTCCTAGGAATTTCTGGGAATTTTCAGGAATTTTTAGGAATGTTTAAGAATTACTGGAAATTTTAAGCAAAAATTTGAGGCTAATGATATAAAATAAATACTTTAAATTAAAAAAACCCAGCTAAAATTCAAGTATTCAATGAAATTTATTTACAAGCTTAATTAAGGCTTACATGTAAAATATTTTTGATTAATCAACATCAACATCAACATGTGGTAATATTAGGATGGAATTTGATTTATTTTTCTTTTCTTGAAAACTTCATACGGATTAATCCTCAACTACAGCTATTCATATAAAATAGTCCTAATAAATCATTTAATTTGGTTTGACACAAATTGTGAATAAAATCTGTTGATTCTTTTCCATAAAATACAATTTCTTAAATTATATTTGAAAACCAAGCACTCTTGGGAGTGAAGGGGTTAATTACAGATAAATAAAATTGATTTTTTAATTAAAATCTTGTTGTAACTGTAACAATAAATTAGAATGAAGTTATCCTAAAATGCAAACTTAGCTGCTGTTTGTATTTTTTCCCCTGGGCTCACAATGAGTTGGCCTTGAATGAGGTTGTAGGTGAGGTGAGGCTTGAATGAGGTTGTCTACAAGAAGCTTGACCATTTTGTATCTGGATTCCATGACATATGAATTTGAAAAAAATTTATATATACATAAATATATATATTTAAAGCTCAGACCAGGCCTTTAAGATGGCCATAAGGAAAAGGGCATTCATTGGATTCTCAAATTAAGAAATCTCTGTTATACTGAGTGACTTTTATATTGGAGTTAGTACATCTCTCCCATACATTTTACTAAAAAAGGGCTGAATATTTTGTTTTTACCAAAGAGGGCTTCTTTATGTAATAAGTTTTGTTTAATAACAGTTCCTATTATGAATCTTGAATTTTCCCAAACGTGACTAAAGGAATCTTGAAACCTTACTGATAGATTTATTTCATTATAAAGCATAAGCTTAAGAAACTGCGGCATGCGAGTGACCGATTCGATTCTCAGAATTATTCTCAGAATTATTCTAGTTTCAGTGGCACCGAGCGTTATGTAAGCTTAATTCAACCCGTTACATCTATTCTTTTATAAGATTTTGATCACGTAACGAATATCGCAATGTTTACTCACCACAAACTTTCAAAACAGATGGCCACTCGACCCTTGTTTGTACCAGTCAATGTCAACTGTTGTCCCTTCTTTTAACTCCACGGCAAAATGTGATGCTCACTGAACCATTTAAGTCGTGGTTTCCAGCTTATCAAGTGTTCTCCCAACCTCCCAAGTGTTTACATCAGGCTATGTAAACGCGGAAACCATTTTACATTTCTTTTATAAAATAACTTATGAAAGAGGAACGAAAACCGTGTCTACATACGCTCATGTAAAATGGTTTTATGGCCAATCAGAGCGCGCGTACTATTTGAATTATTTTATAATTGCCTTTGTTGATTTGTATTTTAACTGCCGCACGTCTCTCGTTGGGAAACCACGCGGAACAGATCGAGACAGTCTCTGCCCCTGTAAAACCTCGGTGCGACGGGTTTCTGAATTCTCCGCACCACCTACATTTAAGAGACATTGTTGATCTTTTCCAAAATTCATACTTTAAAATGTTGTATCTTTTATTCGTTAAGTTTGAATGGATTCGGTCGGAACTTTCGTTTAATGTCCCATGGCAAAAGTTCACACCTTTTCCACGGGAAATTTCCATTTGAAGTTAACAGATGTTGCAAGCTTATCCTTAGGCCAGGAAGGTTTTTTTTTTTTGGTTCTTTTTTTTTATTTTTATTTTATTATTATTTTTTTTAATTACAAACACAATACTCACAATACAATACGAAACACCACTTACACTAATTACAATGCTTGTTTACATTACTCTACTTACAGTCACTAATAATTACACTACTTACAGTATCCAGCTCTATTAACAACACAATCGACTAATTATACTATTACATACAAAAAGTACTATTTTCTTTTAACATTGCACAGTGACACATACCGGCGATGGCGACGCCCAGTTAATTCTCTAGCAAAAATAAAATACAATAAACTAATAAACAAGGAAGAATATGAGATCTAAGTTTATGCATTGGTCTTCCATTCTTTTCCTTAAAAAAAGGGCAAACACAAAATTATATGAGAAACTCCCATCTAATTTGAAAATCGCGAAGCTTTCTGTTTCTTATAGCAATTATTTTTTCAACTTGTTTTTTAAGTTCAACCTTGTGCAAAAACAATCTGAATATTGGAGAGGTGTTATTTTTTCTACATTCCCAAATAGTTAATTTCCCTAAAATTATCAAATAATTTAACAAATCGTTCCTCTGAAGTAAGCCAACCATAATATCTTTTAAAGACAAAGTTAAATATTCGCCGCTAAGATCAAACCACCAGACTGTAAATACGTTCCAAAAAGCTTGCACAAAGGAGCAGATAGAGAAGAGGTGGTACAGATCTTCCGTATAGGTTCCACAAAAAGAACACTTGTCCGAATCACTTAAACCTATTTTGAACAATTTATCGTTCGTAAACAAAATGAAATTCAATACTCTGTATTGAAACGACCAAACATACGTTTCACTCGCAACAAGATAAGGAATAGAGAAAACTTCCTGCGCATTTGAAAGCTCAAAATCCGCTATCAACTTTTTAAAGCCATTCGGGATTCTCGCTTTACTTGATATCATCGTAGAATAAAACTGTTTACACTTTGCCGTATATGCATTAAAAAATTTAGACTTATAATCAAAATTCATAGGATCGAGATTACCCGCTGTGGGGATGGAGCAGGAGCTTTTTGATTTCATATAAATAATAGAAGATCTCAAGGCTGTCCAAGTCAGAAAATTAGTGTTAAGTCCTTTTTGCTTAAAGGACTCATAGGAACGCACATTGTCAACATCGAACTGTAAATCATTCAAATAAGTTATGCCCTTGTCAAAGTATGTTTTATAAAAAACAGGTTTATTATTTATTCGTACATCCTTATTATTCCAAATTACATTTTGAGAACAATTCACATCAGAAAAGGAGCATCTAAAATCCGCCCACCATCTAAGAAGCTGTAAGTAAAACTTACTAAGACTTAAGTCAAGATCATTTACATCATAGTTACATCTAAAAAGAAAACATCCTCCGTATTTTTTTAAGTTGTATTTGAGATAAGAAATCCAGGGCCCTTCCTTCTCATCTAAGAGACGCGGAATCCAGGACAATCTTAATGCTTTAATATGTAGCTCAAGGTCTGTGAGATTCAGTCCACCATTCTCTAAAGTATTTATCACAGAAAGCCTTGTGACTTTATCAGGGCCTTTCCATAAAAATTTGTAGATCATTTTCTCCATCTGTTTAATAATTTCGGGTGGGGTTTCTATTATTGAAGAAACATATAATAATTTTGGGATCAGGAAAGATTTAATTATTGTTACTTTGCCAAATAGGGAGAGACCTCTGAGTTTCTATAAGTTAATCATCTTTTGAACTTCATTTAATCTATCCTAGAAATTTTTTTTCATAACTTGTTCTTGATCACAGAGGTGTTTCTAAAGAATTTTGTTTTTTCCAACCCACATAGCTTTGGTTTTAGAAAGGTTCATTTTTAAGCCAGAACATTTTTCGAAGTCATTAAGGATTTGTATAACTTTTTCGACTGATGAAATATTTGCTAGAGTAGCTGTCATGTCGTCGGCATACAACAAAGACCTAGTTTCATCTTCCCCAATTTTTGCCTTCAATATTCTCATTTGTTCTTATAGATATCGCCATAATTTCAATGGCAATTAGAAATAAATAAGGCGACAGAGGGTCTCCCTGCCTAACACCCCTTTCTAGTTGAAAAGGAGAAGAGAAGAAACCATTATTAAGAACACAACTTGAGAGGTTATTGTAAAACGTTTGAATCCACTTTATGGAGGAGGGTCCGAAATTAAAACACTATAATGCTTTATGAAGAAATTCATGTTCTATGGAGTCAAAAGCTTTTTCAAAATCAATAAACAGTAAAACACCTGGTAACTGTAGTGATTCAGTATGAGCGACAATGTCTAAGATTGAACGAGCTGTTTCTCCAATAAACCTACCCTTCATAAAATCGGATTGATTTGCATGGATTACAGAGGGAAGAACATTTTTTATTCTATTTGCGATGACCTTAGTTGCGATTTTTGAGTCGACATTAATCAACGAGATGGGTCTCCAATTTTCTAAAAACATCATGTCCCTTCCTTTTTTGTCGATCAAGGTGATGATCGCCTGCTTTTGAGAATTTGACATTTGCCCTAGGTCAAAAGAATGATTAAAAACTTCAGTCATTAATTCACCAACAGAATTCCAGAAAATTTTATAAAATTCAGCAGGAATTCCATCATTTCCAGGCGTCTTCCCCGTGTCAAACGTATCAAGTGCTTTAACACATTCCTCTTTGGTTATTTGACCCTCGCAGCTTAATCTTTCCTCTTGGGGATAGTCGTGGAATATTCGAATTTCCAAGAAAGTGATGTAATGAGTCAGATTGGTCTACCTTCAATTTGCTACTATATAGGTTCTTGTAATACTCCGAAGCGGAATCCAATATTTTTTGATAGTTTTTAGTAATGACTCCACTTATACAGAGCTTTCTTATGTGTTTCCTGGTGTAATTTCTCTTTTCTAAACTCAAAAAATATTTAGTACTCTTTTCGCCGTATTCATGCCACCTCGCCCTGGCACGTACAATTAATCCATTAGCCTTTTCCTCATAAAAATTTTCCAAGTCCGCTTTGCATTCATCAAGAATTTTTTCGACCTCCTCACCGGGGGTCTGCTGAAACTGTGCTTGAGCAATTTGCAATTTTCTTTGCAGCTTTTCTTCTCTCTCTCTTTTGGTCTTAGCTACTTTTTTTGAGTAATTTATCGTAAAGAGTCGCACATTATATTTAATCCAATCAAAAACAACTCTTACATCTGAAAATTCCTCTCCCTCTTTTTTCCATTGGTCTAGCTTTTCTTTCATCTTTTGAACAAAATTTTCATCAGTCAATAAGGAAGTATTCATTTTCCAAAACCCCGGGCCTCGCTGACATTCCTCGATTTCCTGTAGATGTAAGAAAATTGCTGAGTGATCAGACCTTATTGATGCAATGATGTTGACATCTTTAATCAAGTCCTGAAGTGAATTTGAGATTAGCCAATAATCTAATCTACAAAAAATAAATGGAGACTTTTGGGACCATGTAAAGCTTTTTGCTTGGGGATTTTTTACACGCCATACATCATGGAAATTAAATGTTGTTTGTATTTCTTCAATGCGTTCAACAACTTTCTTCCTTAATACCAGTATCCCACCTTTTTTTTCCAGTAGCGGATTAATGGGACAATTGAAGTCGCCACCTATTATTATTTTATCTTCATAAGCGAGACCTTCTTTCCTTAAAACGTCAATTATATGATTATAGAATTGCACAGCTTGATTATCATGATATCTGATATCTGCGCTGATATCTCGATTTCTCCCAGAGATCCTCGTAAGTGTAGGTTTACTACATCGCATTGTTGTTTTGTGTACCTTTCATATCCAAAGGTGTTGAGATGTAATGTTTCCGACTTGACAGGTGACAGATTTAGCTTTGATTTTCATCGGTTTGTTATGTAAGTACGTTGACTTCCGGTATCCAGATGAATTCTGACTGACGCAGTTTCGGAAATACATCGTTAACAGCTGTAGCCTTCGTCGTTTATAAGAGAACAATTCCCTTTGCTTTGTTGCGCACTGTTGTCGTTGTTGTCGTCGTTTCTTCGGGAGAAATTTCCTTCGGTTTCGCGCTTTTTTGGTCACGCAACGAACTGATGATGCCGCTGACCGCAGTGACGGCATGTGTTTCGATTTTAGCATTCCTTCACATCGTGACCAAATCGCAAGCAATTAAAACATCGTTTATCTCGTTCCAAAATGTTTCTTCATTTAGCGGTATCCTTAACAACATCGCAAGAGGCAGGATAATGCACGTTTCAACAAAAGACACATTTGCTTTTGCAGCTCTCACCTTGCTTTGAGACCAGAGAACGGAGAAGTGGGGGTTGATTACGAAATTTGGCATGTCCCAATGCTTGGGGTGATTTTCGGTCCTCGCTTGTTTTCGTCATCTCGCCATCTTTATCACGTTTGAGAACTCATCCAGAGTTCCTAGCTATCTGCAATCTAATCTCGGACAGCAATTTGGACATAATGATTGGAATTAATAGACTACCGTATTGATCTGATGTTAGGCCGAGTGATGCCATGCCTCGGGAATGGACACATACTGTTAAAAGACAAAATTGGCATCTAGCAAGAATTTTCATTATGGGTGATTTTTTACTTATTTGAACGTGAAAATAAATGGAAATAATATATCAGCATAAGCTATTCAATAAACATTGTAATTAGCCAGTTGATCATTTCTTATTCCTTTTGGCGGTCTTACCTTACAGGTAGAGTTTGGTCACCTTTTTCCTTATTATGATCGTGAATTTGACATGGAGACAGATGTTTTTGTGTAAACTGCGGTTTGCGGCTAGATATCAATATATTTCCATTACGTTGCTAAAAGATGATTAATTTCTAAGAAAATGAGTCTACCTCATAAAAATTGACCTGTGCACGAATTTCCTGGAAACAACCCTCCTTTATACTTTTATATACTTATACTTTTACCCACTTAATACTCTCGTTTTTAGGCTAAATCCATGTCGAATTCCCGATTAGGAAAGTAGTTTTTAATTTGAATTGAGCACGTTCGACACCTCTTTTTCTTAGAGGTGACTTAGGGTGTACAAATGAAGTACTTTTCATCTTCCGCATCGAATTTGTACTCAGATAACTTATACGGCTAGCACCTAGCTCTTTCAGGGGCGGTACCTCGGGTACGACCATTCTTCACCGAATTTTCTGTTTATTCTGCCGATATGTAGCAGTCTTCAAGGACTATTTTCTCTTAAGTTATCTCTTCAAGTATGATTTTAATTCTGTTAGTAAGTTATTATAATTTTTTATTAGTCAATCTTGTTTTTGTTTCGCTTAGTAAGACTAAGAAATTTAAGGTGAAAAGTCATTTTGTAAAGCGTAAACATGGCGAAGGTATCTACTTGGTATGCGAACTCCGCTCTGGGTAGTTTAGCGTGATTGGCTAGTTAAGTGTAAAAGCATGGCAAAGGTTAGATAGTGACAGCTCAGTAAGTGTCACCTTAATAAGTGGTGACCCACACTTTCCTAAACAGGTCAGGGCTAGTCCCCGTTGTAATAACTTGAGTAATAAGAGTGAATCAAGAAAGAGACAACAAAACAACGAGTGTTAGTACACAACTTCTAACAATATTCGATCGAACTCGTATCTAAGGCTTGAAGGGCGATCATCAGAACATGGTGACACCTTAAGAAGCTCATCCATATGTGCACGGATAATTTACTGGGGACGGTCACATCGTTCTTGCAATAATTTAACTGCGGCATCGTAGTTTGCCTCGGTTAACGTAAGACCCGGGATTACTCGAGCTGCCACTCTCTCAAGAACATAATTGAGATAATTAAACTTATCAATGTTAGAAATCCCTTCGTTACGATGTACCGCTACCTGAAATGAGTCCCAGAACGTGTTCCATTTAGTAACATCTCCTCTAAACTTCGGAAGGGATAACTTCGGTAATCTAGTACGAACAACATTTTGACTCACCGGCTGTGCCATCGCTCGATATGATTCCACGTGTTATTGAGTTGACATGTTTGCTTTACTTACATTGCTGTGCTGAACGTATTTGATCTCGATCTTTTGTTTGTCATCGCGATTCCGCCCCACGTTGGGCGCCATTAAGTGAACGCAACACATGTTAATTCGTTCATTTTGATTTTTACACGACTTACACCATTACTTTTCCCGCGAATCGGGTTACATAAATTACGCAAAATGATAAATCACGTGATCATTTCCATATACGGATTGCTGGAATAAATTAAAGTAAAATACTTACTGCAGATGTTATAGGGAGAAATTGCAGGTTAATCACTCCTGGGAGTTAAAGGGTCAAGGTAGACAATAACAACATTTGTCTGACTCTCCATTGTTTACTTCAATTTTTTTGGAAAATACTTTATTGATTGAAGTTGAGGATGTTCAATAGATGTTACATGCAAAATCATTACACCAGGTTGTTAACTAAAGGCAGACAATAACAAAATCTGTCTGACTCTCTATTGTTTACGTGTTACGGTATAATCTAACCGACAGAAAAACACTAAATCCCACGAACTCAACTATTTTATTAAACAGCGGGTAATGTTCTTAATTAGGAGCGACTCCTAAATGCTGTACAATACTTATCGTAAATAAACTTATTTAAGCCCACTTAAATAAGTGCGTTTTTGCAGGTGCCATAAGCACATCTCTTTGTCGTAACCATTATGTTTAGGTATACACTTACTAAACAACTGCAATCATACACATTCATAGAGGTGAAATCGGTTTTATTTTTGGGAATCAAGGCTTCCTCACTTTCTTCTGCCGAAGTTTGAACTCATGTGCTGCGAGCTCGGCTCCATGTCCGAACTTTCGAGGTTTGTTTACATCAAAAGTCACGTGACACTACGTGAAATCACGTAAAATCTAAACCCCAAAAGGTGAATTACTCATAACATACGCCAATTTATTTTTCCATTTAACAAGTGGATGTCATGTTCAAGGCTTTATCTGAGTGTCAGGTTCTCCATCCAGTTCTCCATCCAGTTCTCCATTCAGACCCTGAGAATGAAGAAGGAGAAGGTAAATCACCAATCATTGATTAAAATACCAATTGATTGGTCCTAGAGTGATACAGGTATGATCGAGTGCTAGGCTCTCCACGCTGCGTTCTTGGGCAAGAAACTTTACTCCCACAGCACTTTTCTATCTAGGAGTATGAATGAGTGCTGGTGAACTGTCAGGGAAATGAAATTCTGGCAGGTTCACTTCTAATGAGGGTGAGAAGTACTAGTAATACATGACTATGAATATGCAAAAATCAAATATGTGAACTGCGGATTAAGAAATGAATATGAGAACATGGACAGCCATGGATGTCATGGATAAGAAATTTTCTCTCAGCAAAGTTCTTGGCAAGTGTGGTTCAAGCAAACTGATAACTACAGCTCTGATAACTACAGCTCCAACAACTTCGTCTCGTGTCCGTGTCTCACGGAGGTTGTAAACGAGTTAAAATAGTCTGAACGATGAGTTATCTTTCCTTGAGTACTCTTCACGAATGAGCGACCAAAATTATTACAATTACCAGCTGAAATTTAACTTGATGGGTTGCTACCATTTTTACTTAGTACTGTGGCTCCGCTGCGCGCGTGCTGCGAGCTCCGCTAATATGTCATATTGCCAGGCAGACAAATAACCCCAAGAAATTATTCAATGTGATACATTGTTATTTACATATTTGGTTCGTGTTGTGAGCTCGTTACTTTTTTCTACACAAAAGAACAAGAAGGTAACAATTTCAACTTAAGTTGATACCACGACTACTGAATTACAACTAAACGGAACCACCAAGATCGTAAAAGTGACTTTTTCCAGCCCAACCTTCGCCATTAGTTTCTTTTTGTGGCTGGCTTAAGTTAAAAAATTTCCAATATACTTTCGTCGATACATAAATAGCAAAGTTTCCATTGGGTTTCTACCTTGTCGTCTACCTCGACGATGCTGTAGATTTTTCTCACAAAGAAGAAACAGGCGAAAAATCCCACAGTACCTAGGAAAAGGAAGAAGCGATTTTAGATTTAAATGGAAGGCATAAACGCGTGCATGTATCGTGGTTCACATGACTAACACAAACGTTTTCACTGGTTCATACTTTTGATCTGTTAGGGAACAAACACGTAGATGACGTCACCATCGACGATATGGTGCTGTATATCATATATATAACAAATAAATTCTATGTTGCCTCGTTAAGATATGGTGCTTTTTATCATATATAACAATAAATTCTATATTGCCTTGGGTCCGTTCAGTGATAGATCACAGATAAGGTCAAAATGCGTTTGGCAAATCATTGACACACTTGGCTGCGCCCTGTGTGCCATGTTTTGTTCATACCACATCTTGACGTCCTTTGTGATCTAATACTGAACGGACGCACTGCTACATGGAATCTATTTGTTTAGAATTTATGGATGCATGCGGGAAGTTTGGAGATCTCGAAAAAAGCGTAAGGGTTGTTGATCCATTTGTTTGGAATCTATGGATGCACGTGGAAAGCGCAAGAGTTGCACGAGGCGCAGTGGAGAGCAACTCTAGTTTCTTCAGTTTCGGCCACGCGGGAGCCTGGAACAAGTTACCAATCTCAGCGGCACAAAATACCAATCACAATGGCAAGGATCCATAACGTACTTACCAGTGAAAAGGAAGAAGATCAACACCATGATCAGTGTGTAGCCGAAGTACAGGAAGGTAGAGGCTGTTCCTGTGATGTTCAGTTTGGTGACAAAGAAATGAATCGAGTACAGAAAGAAATACACTGCAGTACATCCGCCAGTCAGGAAGGAACGCCACCACCAATGATAATCCTGCAATTGAGTAAAGCGTTGAAAATAAGCGAAACATTGTTGTTCGGGACACGCTTCAATACCTTTACACTAAAAATACACAAATATTGGGAAAGGATCTAGTTACGGCCGTGAGTCCCTTTACAGAATCTGATTTTCGCGTAACGAGATCGTATTTAAGAACTGCATCGACAAGTTTTGAGTTCCGAGCATTACAGACGATGGATGAAGTTTCGTTTTGAACATAAGATACGAAGCACACCGCATGCGCGTACCGGCGAGATGTAAATGTTTGGGATTGGCACCCGCGAGACAGAGCAATTTACAAACGCATACTGGCGAGAGGTGAAGTTTCGTGGACTTTCGTTCCACTTGCACCAAGGAAAACCGGTTCTTTTACTGTACATGGGAACCGCTTCTAACTCCAAAGGATACATAACACGAATGTAACCCTAATACATAGAGAAGCTATATCTAGAAGTGAAAGCCACAGCTTCGCCTTCAACCGTAGCAGGAATTTTCTCAGCTTCAAAATTGCCACGAACGAAAAAGCGTGTTTAAAGTCAAAATATAACAAAAAGAAATAAAAGGGTATCTAGAATGTACGAGAGCAAATTGTTAAGGTGTATAATGTAGCGTACGATAAAGTCAAATTGTGGTGTGGTCTGTTCACAGACCTCTATTTCCCTTCGATCATCGTCCAACGCTTGGGCGCGAGAGAAGCCGCTAGGGAGTTACCTACGTGAACCCTTAAGGGTGGGATAATTTCGCGCTCGTTCACGCGCGATCGCTTCGCGCTCCCTCCCTTAACTATGAAGAAAACAGCCATAGAAAGACTAGTTTTGGTTGGAATTTAACCTCATGAATTTCCTCACCTCAGCACGAAGATGGAAATAACACAACAGTATGGTGGTCTCTGACACGGTCAACAGTAGAATTAAACAAACCACAAACAAGAAACCAAACATGTAGTAAATCTGATGCGACCTGGTTGATGCAGAAAAAAGCAAAAATCACTCATACAGTTCAAACATAAAATGAAGCATCTAACTAATGTTTTATTGGGTAACCCGAAAATCCCAATAAAATAGATCAGTGAAGTTTTTCAAGAAGTTTATACAATAAAAGTGGAATTTAAGGAGGCTGTCTTTATTATTACGTGTTCACATGAAATGATTAAGACCTTTCCTTACAATAGGGAAGAAAATAACTTTTTGCAAGACAAAATATACGTATGGAAGAATTTAGAGAAAAAGATTTGGATTCAAGTCCGATTTGCATCATACAAAATCGCCTGATACCCCTATAAATATATTAATTGCTTGTCAGCAAGGTAGTCTGGTTTACGAGTTAAAAAAACGTTAAAGCCCAGTAACAAGTTACACGCAAACAAAAAAAAAAAGGGGAAAAATCGAACGATTTAAAATGGATTTAAGTAAAATCTCCATCATTCATACATTAAAGAGACTTACCAAATACTGTTTAAGATAAAAAACAACTGGATATAAATACACCCAAACGGAAGAACACCTCCCATTATGATTCCTGGAGCTGCTCTAGTGTAAATTCTCTGCAAGATAACAATATTTATTTTGAGACAACATCTTGATGATTTTGATACAAATCTATTCCACGTAGAGCACTAAAGAGCTTTCCGATTGAGTGACGTAACGGCAAAACCACCGTAATCGCAACGGCCAATCAGAAGGAATAAAGTAATAAGAGCCAATAAAAACTCAAGTCTAAAGCGCGGGAAAACGCGGGTTACCAAACAGAAGCAAGAAGAGCCAATAAAAACTCAAGCCTAAAGCGCGGGAAAGCGCGGGTTACCAAGTCGTGATTCCTTTTAGTTCTGGATTTGATTGGTTGATAGAGTGGCGCGAGTTTTTTGAACCAGTCTCAGGGCGAGGTACAGCAAAATCCCGAATTACTTTCGACACTCAGTTGAAAGCTTCGCTAAAATGGACATTCACTCGTTACCTTAATTCAAGTTCTAAATGAATCATTGCCTAATGTAAAATGGTTAAGGCAAAGGTAGCGTGTGAATTAGAACTGGGGTATGGAACCACCTGGATTGTAAACCTCTAACTTGATATACACTGTATTCTTCAGAGTCCATAATTGTATTTACCTGGTATGGAATCTGACGAGGGGTTTGATTGGTTCGAACTGGTTGCATAATTGGCTGGAGGTAAAAAATAACATTATTCAGAGTCCATAATTGTACTGACCTGGTCTAGAATCAGACAAGGGATCTAATTGGTTCGAACAGGTTGTTCAATTGACTAGAGGCAAAAATTGAACACCTAATCAGCCCCGTTCTACATTACAATGTGAAACTTTGACGCTTACGGACAACACCAGTGACATAATGGTAAACTCAAGTATAGGTGGAAAGGTGTGAAAGGTCCAAAGGACTGACCTTTCAATATTAAAAAATATTTCAATCTAAGGATTTATTGGAAATACTGCAGGAAACTTTAGCAAAACTAATAGATTTTAGAATATTCTTATTTTCCATAAATTGCCTCTTAAAAGTAGCAAAGTTAGAACAGTTCTTGATGTCATCAGGTCTGGGATCGAGCCAAGGCAGGGTCTTTTAAATACCTTTATGGGCAAGAAACTTTACTCTCAGAGTGTTTCTTTCCACTCAAGTGCATAAATGGGTACTAATACTCTAATGAAGGAACCTGAAACAATACTCCTAATTGCTTTACCATTTAACTCCGAAGAGTGACAAGCATCTCATTTCTCCTTACAATATCAGCCTTGAACATAACAGGAAGGTCACGAGAATAAAGCAAATGATCACCAGTTAAAGAAGCTTTTGATTGTTGAACAAATTCTCCTAGTCAACACCTAAGGAAATGCATAGAGAACACTTGGGAGAATATGGATACCAATGTTAGGGTGTCTAGGGTTTATGCTATGGAAACGAGGATTTGTGTTGGCCAGATGGGTTTTCTGGCTAAGAGGCTGACTTTACGTTTATATTGACTACTACCTTAGTTATCAGCAGTTTATACATGTACTGAAATTACCTTTTTCTTGAATCCGAGGTAAGCCCCCAGGAATGTAAGTGGAGCTGAAATGCCAAACCTATCAAGCAAGAAAGGAAAAAGGAAAATTAACATTCCACGCATGTTTCATAAAATGAGCTGAGTCACGGGCTGCTAATGATTCAGGTTTAGACTTACAACATGGCCAACAGCGTGAATAAAGTGGTAAACGGAACAGCTGCTGATGAACCCTCTGACCACAGAACACAATTCAAAAGGAAGAAAATTCCAAATATCAATCTGGAATTAAAGAAAAAAGTTATTACATTTGACAAGGGTGATGGTTATAGCAACAATATTGAAAATGACAATTACACTAACAGTCATGAAGACCACAAAGATAATGATACAGATGATGACAAAGATCATAGAAATTATAATGATGATGATGACGATAATAATGATGACAATGATAATAATCCATTCTTTTTAGATGCATATCTACTGTGACACAAAATTTCACACAATATGGCATTAGACTTACTTTAAGTAGCTAAGAAAAACTGAGTATTTTTGGCGGTATACATTGTAAGCTAAGGATTTTAAATCCTCCTTAAAAGATCTTTGCATGAATACCCCTTACAAGAGGTATTCAGCTGCTTCACCTAACTTCATTATTTCCAGTTGTATACTACAGTGTACATGTTTGCATCACTGAATACTCACCCAGGAAAAAGGAAGGCCGATAACAAGGTATTGGTCTTCCACAAGTCTCCGCCAACCACTAAACAGGAAAAAAAATGGGTACAAAGCACCATCAGAATTATGCTCAATGGAAAATGCCACCCAGAAGACCAGGGACACTGATGGATGATTGGGTACGCATAGAAAGGCTACATAACAGTTGCACTGTATACTGACCAAAGAAATTTCTTTATATAATTATAGCTAAACAAAAATTGAGAAAAAGCAAACACCTTTCACAAAAGAACAGAATCTACTTTGCTGAGAAAAACACATAAAAACGAAAATGTTTTCCATGTAATGTAACGTTCTCCCTTGAAAATACTGCCAAATGCTTGTTATCGATGGCACTCACTTTTGTAAATTCTGGCAGAAACATAACCAGCAGGTGAACCAAGACAAACAAACAGCACCTGCAAAAAAAAAATTTTCATTTTACTTCTTTGGCTGGGTTCTTAAACATTTTGGTGAACAAAACTCACAACGTTTTCCACACTTTTTCCAAACAACTCTTCTAAATTTACCAAACTGAAGGTTACATGTACATGGAGAACTACATGACCTGTGCTCAATAACCCCTGGTGGAGGAATAGGCCAAAAATTTCACTGATCATTGCATTTAGAAAAGTGATTATTATTTAGGCAATTACCTTACAAAGATCTAACACAACAATAAGGAAATGGTTGCTGATTAGGAAAAGATTTTTAAAAGACGTTTTTCTATTATACTAGGGCCATAAGATAGAAGATTTCTGCTTTTTTTCCCAAGAATGTCAGGCAGCAACTCACCAATGAACAAGTCACCAAAGCTCCACGGTTCGCAGGTGAAAGGAATCCAAAACAAGCAAACACTGAAGAGGAGCAAAAGAAGATTTAATCAATGAGACAACACCTTAGTTAAAATTAAATATAGAGTTAATACATACATGTAGTTGAGGAAAACAAATTAAACTGATTCCTGACATGAGAAAAAACACAATGAAACAAACTCAAAAAAGGGCAGGGAAAAGTCGTTGGTGAAAGGTCAAGATTAGAATGTTAACTCAGGGTGGGTACTGGCAACCTGCCAGGGTAACCTGCTATGAACTGGAATCTCGTCCAGAGGGAGAAAAAATACAGGGATGTACTCCCAGTCTCCTCATGCAAGATAAACCAGATTTAGCCCCAGTTATGCAAATGGAATGCATACAATTCTTTTGAGGCCATACAAAAATACATAGTCAATCTCACATTATCCTTTCACACTCACCTAATGTGAAAAACACTGTAATAAATGTCTGAGTTCCACAACCCAACATGACAGACAATAACATTCCATTCTTTGGAGGGCGGAAGACATCTCCATGAACCAACTTCCAGCGAAACGTTTTCTGACAGCATACCACTGACTCCATCTGATTGTAGGGAGCAATGTCCTTGCGCAGAGTTCGCCGCATAATCAAGGCCACCATTCCCGACAAAAAGAGCACAATGACAGATGAATTCATGATGCTGAGGACAAAACATCACAACACCTATAAGATCACATATTAGAATGGATCAATACCATCAAGAGGGTTGTAGAATAAACATTACATCTTTGCATTCCTACCAGTGGAACTTACACAAGCCTCTGAGTTGAATCAAAGACTCTCTATGACATAATCTGCTGACAACTGTACATACATGCAGATTAGGCCTTTCACTCTGAAGAGAAACTATGAAGATGAATCATCTTGTACTGTCGATACATTATGAAGTAGAGATGATGGAAGGAAAGAAGCTTATCTACAAGGGGATATTGTTGATTTTTATTTTGACATTTGCATTTTACTTTATAATACAGCCACACATCACACCATCGGCAACAGATTATAGAAAAAGATATTGAAACCCTGCTTTTATCAACTCATAGCTAACAACTGCATCTACAGTGTAACTGACTATTATTCACTTTTGTGCACCATTGCAGATAAACAACTCTGCTCATCTACTTGCCACAGTACCCCAGTATGTTAGTACATGTGGAGTATATCTTACCTAAACCACTGGATTTTGGTGTGTGGCATTGAATCAAGAATGTAGTCCCAACGGGATGCCCATTTCTGATTGGGATAAGTCTCTGGCTGCAAAATAAAATAAAATTTCCACTTCAGTACAAAAAAAATACCATTGCAAGTACAATGACCCTGAGCCCTCCTTCAGGAGAGTGAAATGCTTGATTTCATAAAGGTGATGTAGAAAGAGAAGTACCACAATAACCTCAGAGAGGGGAGGGTGAAGAAAGGACTTTGCATATCTCACGTGGACATGAACCCAGTTTAGAAAAGGCTTCTGATCAACAAAAAAAAGTTTTGAACTCTTGTGTAGTAAATATATTTGTTACAGAAGTATGCTTCAATGCATTTTTCCTGTCACCATTGGAAAGGTTCATTTGTATCCTTTCAGGACCTTACAAAAAATTAGAAGCATGACTTTCCAAAAGGTATACTTGGACGTTTTTAGCATTTTTCATGGTTCGCATAATAGTTTAATACCTGTAAAATTGTTTGAAAAGTTGGTTTTACTTAGAGAACGACATTTCATGCTTTCCTGTGCATTCTTTCTGCAATAATGTTCTATTGACTCAATTGCTATCTCTGGCCCCCATTCTTAATCTTTGACTTTCCAGAATTGACATAAAGGAATTCTAAAAGTTCAGTTTCCCAAGATTTTAGTTATACTAAGATTTCAACACCAAGATCTCATTAGTAATTCTCCCTAATGTCTTCCATGTAATTATTATATGTTAGATCTAAATATTTGGCATTAGATGGAATAATAATCCTGTGACTGATATTTCTCTTAAAGTTTACTCTCACCACTCGTCTGCATCATACTGTATTGATTTAATATTGTAGGGAGAAATTTGTCTTGGTCACTACCAAGGAGTGATTTCATCTTCTTATTTCAATGCAATCATTATCCAGCATAACATGATGAGAACAAACAAAAATGTTTACTAAAGGATAATTATCATATGATTCACCTCCAAATTCTCAGAGCCAAAACTATAAGAAATGTATGGTAGAGAGCAGGGAGAATCACTACTGAGATTTTGGGAAAGACTATGTTTAAGATATTATAAGCTCAAACTCACCAGGAATTGAACAGAGTATGTGTAAGCAATGTAAACATCACTTTTCATCTCAGCTGGAAAACCCATAGCTGGTAAATCATCATCACATTTCAGATCCTTGCCTTTCTCGTGCTTGATACTGTAGAATGAACAAGATTGCTGTGTAAGGATAGATGATTTTTTGTCTTGTCATGCATCTGACTCCTTGAGAGGAATCAAACCTCAAAGAGTAAAACCGGCAAGTACAGTATACAGGTGTATGACATTGGGTTTCCTAAAGGAACTCAGGACTTTTCTTTGTCCCAAACTCATGTCAAGACAAAAACAAATCCATCAATACTACACTTACAAGCTTAAAATTTACAACTTTTATTACTACAAGATTGCTTCAAGTTGATGACATATATAAAACATTCAGGCACTATGGCGCAAAAAAAAAAAAAAAAAAAAAAAAAAGAACAAATAAAGTATGCATTCTCATCAAGTTACTCCTCCAGTAAGAGCTTATCCCAATTTCTGTGGCATCTAGTGCCAATCAATTGCAGGTTATTCTTGTCCAGCATTTTGACAGGTTTCCCAGAACATAGTGGGGGTAGCACTAAGGGAGTTCAGTGTCTCACACACCAACAGTACACAATGAACAGGGCAGATCACAGATCCCAGACCCAGACCCAGACCCAGACCCAGACCCAGACCCAGACCTCTTAACTCAAGAGTCCAGCTCAGCACATGGACCAAAAGACCACTGTGACTCTCCCTGACAGTGCTGTTTGTGCAGTTCATACCTTTTTGGTTTGACCTCTGCAGATGTCAGACGAGCTCCTTCCCAGTCTTCCCCCGACCCATCATAGTACTTGATCTTGATATCAACATGATTAAAGATGTAGTGCATCCCACGTTCATTGAACTTAGTCTGAAACAAAAAACATAAAACAAGCAACAAAATAATTCTCACAATTAAATTACCAATAACAAAATTACAGATAAAACAAAAAACATCCAGGCTTTCAACTTAAGCCTGGTAAAGACTAAATGGGCTCGAATGCCAACTGAGCTGCAATGCCACACGTGGGAAGTAGAGCAAACTTTGGAGGATTTGTCAAGGATAAACCTGAAATTCTTTAGTTCTGGTTCCCTTCAGTTTGCTCACTGATTGGTCAAAAAGACTCTGTGCCATCCTTTCAACCAATCAGATGCAAAACTAAAACCAATCATGACTTAGTCATTGTCCCCTTCACCCCAACAAGTTTGCCTGTGTCTTAATGTGACTTTTCATGAACTTACATTTTCGATCATTTTCCCCTTTGTTTAGTTTGGCTGTAATGATGACTTCAATTTCAGTTTTCATCCCTCAATTGAAAACTTCTGGCCTTGGTTGGGCCTTGGTTATTCAATGGAGGGATAATGCTATTCAATGCAGTCGCTATAAATTGCTATCCAACATGTAAATCTCTATCCAGTGACTGTAAGTCTTAACAAAATGTACTGTGCTACCCACCAGAGAGAGATTTCTCTAGTGGATAGCATTACCCACCTTTAAACAACCAGTCCCAGTAGTTTACTAATTGAGAAATCTGTGAATACTTACACTTGTCACACAGGCATCACGTGCTTGTCCATCCTCTGTCACATGACAGCCGATAGGAAATCCTGTGGAACAGTACTTTCTGTATTCACCTGTGAACTCATAACACCAAGTCACAGGCATGTTGTCAATAATCCTACAAAGATTAGAAAGATGTATAGCAGAGAAAACAGTAAGTTTAAGATGACACAAAGAACATCTCTATAGAATATAAGTACCTGATTTGCTGGCCTTTATAGCACAACAACGTAAACAACATCATGATCAATATCATTGACTGGCCTGACTCTTACATTGTGAGACAAACAATTAAAAATTCATTTATCTAATACTGAAAATCTTACAAGACACTGTCATTCAATAAATAGGAAGTTGAGACTACAGCCACACTAACCAATGATTTTGATAGTTAAGAGCAATTCCACTTCTTAAAAATTCCAGCTTCTTCCCATCCTCTGCATTGCCAGATTTGTATTCTTTGGCACAAAGTTGTTTACATGTTACATCCTTCTTGAATGTAATCTGTCAAACAGAGGAACAAATAAAAAAAAAAATAAACAAAGATTGCTAAACTATGGAAATGAAAATTGAATGTAAAATACACCAATTACAACACAGAAAAGTTGACTACAACACACCAGAAGAAAGCTAGCAAATATACCCAGATATTAACTGGTGTATTGCCCAGATAAACATGAAGTCATCTAAACAAGACCGTAAATAAAAGCTGTCGCTTACATTGTAAAGAGAGGGTCTTATCCTCTCTCCAACAACAACCTGTAAAAAAAAAAGGAAACACTGCTGTAAGTTCAAGAATGAAGCATGAAGCTGTGTAAAATGAGATATACAGTACAAAAATTACCAGTTGAGTGAGGTATGGAAAAAGCTTGGTGACAGGGAATTGACTGTAAAATTAAGTTGTCAAGGGCAACCTTCCTTGTTTCCAATGGTGACCGCCTCTTAAAGAGCCATATATCACCAATTGTCATACACAAAAGCCCACCAAAGGAGGTCAAACAAAGCGTTGTCACTGGAAATGGAAACAGTTGCCATTACAATGCAATTTTAAAATCAACTGTGGTCACCAAATTTCTGTTGCTCCTCACTCAACTGAATACTATGTCTTGAACTTAAAACATTTCAAGAAGTACTTTTGTCTTGTTAGGAGCATTGGACTCAGGGAAGAGCACATGTAGAGTCTATTTGGGGTTCAATTCCTCATGGGGACTCAAAATTTCACTTCATTTCATTTTCAAGTTAAAAAATTAATTATCTTTCTACTTTTGAATATTAGTGTGGGAGAAAGAAAAACAATGCCAAAACGTTTTGTTGAGCATTTTGCCTATAGCAGGATATCTTGTCATTGACCAATATACTATGTCAGTAGTATTATACATTACACATGTGCCTTTTCCTTCTGACAATCTTTATTTCAGTTCATATGACCTTTTAAATCACCATATGGCAAATAAATATGGGCAAATTAGAGAGCTAAGAACACCATCTACGTAAAACATATTCAATGTGTATGCCTATTTACAAACCTGTCCAAGGTTTTCTGTTGGTGATGTCTTGTCTGTGGGTGGTACACAGAAATCAAACCTGTACAAATAAGTTGAACATGTGAGTTGATAGAAATAATGCAGACTTTTGCCCATTAACATGGACTTGTACTTGCTAATAACAAATATCTAACCTTACTTTGTTGTTGCAAGTCAAAACAATTTTCAAATATCCACTTTGTTTTCCTCTTGTCAGGTTCACTACCATTTTTCTCAACTCTTAAACTCCCATAAGTGACCAAGATAGAATTTCTCCTTACAATATCAATACAATATCAAGCAGACAAGTGATGAGAATAATTGTGATGATAACAAGTGCTGGGAAGAATTAGAATCAACTAAGGAATTATACATTGTTCCAATACCAAATTCTCCAGACTAAAATCATAAGAAGTGTATAACAGATAGTAGGGAGAATTGCTGATGAGATCTGGAAGGGAAAGGATTCAAGATCAACAGCATTAAAGGAGAAAACAGAATTGAAAAGTTTTGACTGTGTTGTCTGTTTGTCTCAGTAAGGGTAGTCCTACAAATAACAACTACTACTGACTCTGATCATGACTTGTTCACAGGTTGTCAAAATATCACTCATCCTAATTGACAACAGTTCTATTCAGGACTACTCTTAACTGGATAATACGACTACACAGTCAATTATAACCCCCAGGTTCAAACCATTTACTGAGTGTATTAAAAAAATAATAATATTGATAGTAAAAGTTACAAACCTTGCATACTCGTAGGGAATCACTGATTCAACAGAATTCAGACTATTCACAAACAAATCAATTTTGGACTAGAAAAAAAAAAAAAAAAAAAACACAGGTATTTAGAGCAAATTTACCAAAACTGAGCATTAAGGTCGAGATTGATTTTCATTCCTCTTTGTTTCCAACAATGGTAACACATATGTTAGACACCAAGATGAGAAATCCCATGATTCTAGAAAAATTCACACCCAGGGTATAAGTCAAATATATCTTTCCATTCATATTATAATGGTAATACTAATCTACCAGTATTCATAAATTGCAGGAATCACTAGATTAAAGATTTGAAGAGACTTTATGTAAAATTGAAATACAAGAAAAAAAAACCATTAGATTTGTTTGTTTACCCTTAGAGAAAACTTTCATGTAACTTTTCAATTAACAGCTTTAATCTAAATTTGTTGAAACATCTCAGTCTTAGCATATCTTGCTGGTAGTCAGGGAAATACGATTTTATTCTTGCATGAAATGTAAAATTGATGAAACAGATGTTCACGCTTTGCACTTTAATAATATACATGGAAAAATTACTCAGTTCTGATTGGTTAGGATAAATGCAGTTTTCAGGTAATTCAGTGCGGAAGAGAGTTAATTCAGTGCAGAAGAGGGTTAATTCAGTGCAAAGAAAGTAACAAATCAGACATTCTGATTGGTCAATAATCAAAGGAACTCACAGACAGCCAATCAAATGTGAGCCTTAGATGTCGCAACAAAATTTGAAAATTTGAAAATTTGCAAGCGAAACAATGGCCGGTGTTTTAAGTAGGTTTTCTTTTGCCACTGCAGCTGAAAAACAGCTCAAACAATGAAAACACTGAAAAAGCACTGCTTTTTGGTTGTTGGTTTGGAAAAAGTGGTGTTTAGAGAAGGGAATTGCCAAGGAAATCAAAATTACGAGTCAACCCAGCTTAACACTTTGCTCAAGTGATCCAACGCCAAAATTAGAAACAAACATGGTTAACCCTCCAAAAACAATGATTCCATTTCATCGAAAGTGATTCGGACACAGACTGAACAATTCCTTGAACTGTTTAGCTGGACTTTGAACATGTTGCACCTTAAAGATGTGAAGATATCATTGCAAATTATTGTTTTAATCGTACGTGGTTGTTTTGACTGAATGCACAGTTTGAATAAATTATTTTTGCACTTGATGTGCACGCTTTGCTTATGCATGATTTTGATAAGCGATCTCATATTTTTCCATGCATATTATTAACGCGTAATCACATGAATTTTCTCGTGCAATTTGGAATAAACAAGCACTTGTTAATTAAAAGACCACGAATTGAACTTGCCCTACGAGCTCGTGCAATTTTGTTGGTCTTTAAAAAAATTTACTTGTGCTTATTTATTCCAAATTGCACTCGAAATAATGTGATTACATATAAAAACTGAATGGGATCGAATAAAAACAAAAAATAATCTTGCTCGTGGCGAAGTTGATGTAAAAATGTCTAAAAATAGACATTTCTTTCCTTAACTTGATATGGCTAGATTATAATGTAATCGGTAATGACCACAAGTTTTCACACGCGTGCTACTGCGAAGCATTTAAAAGGGAACAACCTAACAATACTTCTGAACTTGTTGATGGTAAAATTCCATAGCTAGAAGTTACAACGAATCAAATTGTTGATGTACAGGTGAATAAAGATATTACAAATATACAAGACAAAATAATATTAAGCTTGGGTCCGATATATAACTAAAACCAAGTGTGATTGCAATAAATTAAACAACCATTACCTAATCATTTAGTTTGTTTCACTATCTAGGAATATGCGCATAGCCTCAACATTTCAGTAGCGTTGTTGAAAGAAGTCGAAGCGATATTGATCATCATTGACCACAATCTTGATCTAACTACCTTGGCTCAAAATTCGTTGATTTAATCTATATCAGATTCTCCAAAGTATTCTGAGCGTTACATAAGACAGCAGAATTAATAAATATAGAAAGTTAACTCCCCCGAACCTTACCAAACAAGCAGGATTTGTTGATTTTTCCGTCACGCAATACGAAATCGGCGCCAGACCGGGTAGATAAAATGCCGCAGCACAAGAAATCCATGTACATAAAACCAACCAAATCAACCCAAGCGAGCTGTAGTGCTCCATGTGCTTCGAAAAGACTATTCTGTTCCTCCAAATACACAATATCCCGTTAAAAAAGCGTCAGTCCACGGATAGACTCTTCCAAATTGCTACAGTGTGTGCAAAATTTAAAAAGCAGCCTTTTTGCGCAGTAAAGAAAATGAAATATCTGCGCATGTGAATGGTCATGTCATAAATCCTAAAATGGCGCCTCAAACAATACTAGTTCCAAGCCTCGTCGGCGCTTCCCAGCCCTCTTTTCTCAGACTCTCGCAAACTTGTCCAGGCTATTGAAGATGTACTCGAAAAGTAATTTGTTCCCGTTTAATCATATCATATGAAGTTGCCACGAACTCATTTAATTTTACTTTGTTTTCAAGACTTCACCTGCTAAATCTGGAAAAAAGCAGCATTTTTTTTCAAAACTGTGAAACACAGTGGACAAAACAAAGATGACAATTTCCCATGATGTCAGCCATCTTGGCGTCTGCACTCCGATAGATAAGTGGAAACAACCAATCACAAAACACGTAGTCACTCGGCCAATTACCTGTATTATTCAACAATTTATTACAGGAGCCAAATTTCTTGATTGTTATTCCTGTCTGTTTTCAACCATTTACAATGGGATTAAGAGTCTGAAAGTTAGCCAAATTGAAGGCTTCTTCTTTCTCATCAATATTACTTTACATAACAAATGAGATTAGCTTTGTAAATATCAAACAATTCCGATAAATCATTTTACCCGAAAATCCTTCAGGCGCAATGCAGCCCCGAGAAGAAAAAAAAAGTAGGAACGCATCTGCGTACAAATTTTCTTATCTTTCATGTTTGCAACGATGAAACTATTATTGAGTTATACAGATGAAGATGCACTCATTCTAGTGGGTTGAGGACTGCATTACGCCTGGATTCAATCACCTAGCGCAATATTTAACACTAATACTGAAGCACTAATTATCATCAGTCCAAAATGGTCTTCAAGTAAAGACAGTTAATTACTTTAAGACTTGAGACAAACGGCGACTGGAAGATGGATAAAACTACTTCTGACGCGCTTGGACATCAACCATTTAACTTAAAAGCCTTCGATAAACGTTTTAATCCAAACAGCAGAGACTTAAGATCTGGGCCACATAGAATAACTCTAAACTTCTGGCTACCGTCCGCATCTCAATAAAGTCTCTCTTTAGTTAAGCTTCCCATGCATTGTCGAATCGATAATCCCTACCTTCGTCTTCAACGGAGAATTGTTCATTAAATCTTGAAAATTAAATCGTTTAATACTTCGTTTGACATGGTAACTTTTCGTTTATTTAGACGTGTTCCATCGTCCGCCTTACTATTTACTTTCGGATTTATTGTTTGTTTGTTTGTTTGCCTTTTTATTTTTGTTTTCTTTTAATTCTTTGGGACACTGATGTTGTTTTTAAGGTTTTCTGGTATAGCTTCTGAACTATGAGTATACTTACGCCCATTATATCAGACTTCAACCTACGAGTACTGAGAATTTGGGGGCAAAACAATGGAAATAAAAATCGCGAGAACTAATAACTCGGAAATGGCGGCTTAAAAATACAGACAGATATACTGATATACTAGTATGAATGTGTATATATACATATACATACATATATGTACATATATAGGAAGTCTGTGTATTGATTTTACCGTTTTACAGTGCTCGATACATAGAAGTAGAGCGCGATATATTTTGCGATAAGGGAAAAAAAAAACAGACAGACTGCACTTTCATCCCTACAAGCCTGTTTCGTGATTGCACACTCATCAGGGGATTTGATCGAATAAAATTAATGTGAAATAAGAAATTAAAGGATCTGTGAAGAGGTTAAAATAAATTGTTTCTTTAAGTAGAGTTTGAATTCTGTCAATATCCATCTCCACTAGGCTGAAAGGCCCAAGGAATTGACATTCCTAAAATAAATTGTTCTTTGCCCTGTGGTGGATCTGTACAGGGGGATCTGAGGAATCTGGGCATTCCTTGTCGATCGACTAGTGACAACTGACTTAAGTGAGAATTTCCATAAGAGCTTTAACTTTATGCATCACTGATTTTTCTTAGAATGGCAGAGAGAACTAAAGTGGATCTGAGCGCGTGATTCGCAATCCGGATGTCTGTGGCCTTACTCCAGCCAGCCTCCTCCTGGGAGCGAGGTTGGAGTCTGACGTCATTCTTTGTACATAGCCAACTGGTCTCCCACCGACTGGAGTTATGAAGAAGCTACGTCATGTAATTTGTGGTCTCTTCAGCTCCACAAGGAATCTTCTCTTTTAGAATAGGTGTTTGTTTGCTGTGGAAGATAAACACTAAAAAAAGTTCCAATATGCCGAAAAATAACAAGGGTAGACGAGAACAGCGGTGATTGGCGCAGGGTGCAATTAAAAATGGTAAAAATTGAGGCTAAAATTTTCAAAACGGACTAACCGTCTGAGTGAAAGGCGTAGAGCTCCTTGTAATTTGTGTAATTAGCATAAAATGTATAACCTTCTGTCTTTTCCTAAGTTAGTAATTGCCCGTGTTACTGTTGACAAAGTTGAGACTTTTAGTCGAATAGACAACCATCAAGTCTAATCGACTTAATATTATTCTTTATGCCAGAAACTGCACAACTGAATTCTGGAAGTCTGTGTGATCGCAAGTAAGTAAAGGCTTTATTCAAAGAGGGTTATACTTAACTCATGTCCTTATTACACTATAAAGCGATCTAAAACTCGGTTTTGTATTTAATTCACATGCTATATACCTGTATTAACTGATGACATAACCTTGAAATAATATTTCAAATAGGGAGAAAGCTTCCTGGTCATTTATAAATTTCTCGTACAAAATGCGCTTGAAACTAGCAACTGATACTTTCCTATGCTTGACTCTATAGTACCTCAATGTATGTTTTTCCTAACTTTAAAAGTTAATCCTCCCTCAGGTTTCCTTAAACACTTTCGACAGATCAAGTTTAATTTAACGATGGCCGAGGCTTTCATCCCATGGATTGTGAATTGGTATCAGAAACGAACCTAACCAATGTGAAAAACACTACAATCCTACAAACTCAACTACTTTATTACACAACGAGTGATATTCTTAATAGGAAGCGACTCTGAAAGGCAGTACAGTTCTTACGCTCCATAAACTTACTTAAGCCCACTACAGTCTATATCTTAACTCGCCACTGAGTAGAACTCAGTTTCCTCCAACGTTTCTTGAAATTAACAATCTTCCACTGTAGTTCTCTCTCACGGTATAGCTTTCTAAACAGTCTGTTACTCCTGACAACAACTACAACTTCTACTACATAACCGGGTCCTTACATACATTCACCAAGTGGTATTGAACATTCCAGAAGCTTACAAAAGAACTCTCTTAATAGTATTACGTAATGATTGCGTGACTTGATGGAATATTTTAAGAAGCTCTAGGTACGCATATCACAATGACTAAGCAGTCTGGACGTTTCTAGAAGCTTATATTTGCAACAACAATTCCTCATAACAAATGCTATTGTCTGAACCGATTGACGATGCCTCGCATTATGTCCATGAGAGTGCGACGAATGGGTCTCATCTTCCAGCAGTATATAACAGGGTTCAAAGACGAGTTGAGGAAAACCAAAGTTGTTGTATAGAGCTGAGCTTCGTATAAAGGACGAGCCATGAATAAAAAAGAGAGAATATAGGAAGGCAAATAACAAATCATAAACACAATACATACATAAAATGTTCCAAGAGCTGACTTTCTAAGCTTCAAAAAGTTTGATAAGTCGCCATTTTGAACTCCCTGTTGTACTTCTTGGATTTGAAGGCCTTCAATCTGATTTTTGTGTCGCTTTAAGACTATATAAATTCTCCAGTAGACGATTACCACCAGAATTAGACAAACAGTCATAATCACGAGCCCAATGACTTGTGAGCTGAAAAGCAATGGATCCCAAAAGACACTAGAAGAAATAATTGCGCTTAACAGCCATATTGATATCACCGCTGCGATGACGCGCCTGTGAGTCACAAGCTCTTGATATCTGAGATGAAGATGAACAGCTAAGAACCTGTCCACACTTACGATTACAACATTAAAGAGTGAGGATGTGCCAAAGAAAATAATAACGGCGGACAATCCCTTGTAGTAAATGCAGTCGATACGTTTTTGTTTTGACAAGCTGGCCAAACTAGAAATGTAGAGCGGTTGGACCAACAAACCAACGCCAACATCGGAGGCAGCCAGGCTCAGTAATAATGTTCTCAAAGGTTTCTGCAACAACGCGGTTTTCCTTATCGCATGGATGGTAACAATGTTCAAAATGATGGCTGTATAAGACAAAAAGCTGTTGAAGACACAAAAAGCGATAAGTGCCGGACGAAAACCTCTAACATTCGCAGAGGTTCCAGAGAGAGACTCTTTGAGAATGTCGCAAACGTTTTCAGCCATGAGAACTGAGCGTTAAAACTACTGTGGTTGTGATATTTTCCGATTCTAAAATGGAAAATTTTATGTCATATGAAGCTGTCAATAACCAGGATAGAACACAATCTGGCATCTGAATTTTTGAAAAAAGCATCGAGTGTCGCTTTAACTCGGCGTTGCTTAGAATTAAAACAAATTATCTGTTTAATGCTTCAAGACATTTTTACTAAACATGGAATTTATACCTGAACAAAGTTATTTGAAGGAAAGCTGTCATTAACATATTTTTCATTTATCAAAATGAATAAACGAAACATTATAGTCAGTTAAATTCAAGAGCGCTTGACAAGTGTCTCTTTATTAAATTCGCCTGAATACACCTAATACAGACCGAATATTTTATGGTTGATGAAGGGTGGGGAGAGAGACCCAAATAATTATTACGAATAAATTACGCACTCGTTTGTGGCGGATCTAGGAGGTATTCAGAATGTTCGGTAAACTCACTAAACTGAGATAATACCGATTTATTTTTTAGTCGTTTTGGAGTAGCTTGGGAATATTTTCCGGTGGTGGATTATTACAGATAGCCCTCCCCCCCTTTATAGACGCAAACCGCATTTGGCTCTCCCTTTGACCACCTCCTAACAAGTCCCGGATCCACTTTAGTTCATGAAAAGCTGCACATAGCTCAGAAAAAGTCTAGCAATGGCCATGTAATATTTTTACATATTTCAATCGAAAGAAATACAGATAAGACATTTTATCAAATAATCATTCTGCATCAAGCGCTTAAACAAAAAGAAAACAGGAAGTTTGACTATTGTTTATGCTGACGGCAGATGTAAATTAAAAATGAGGGCCGGCTTTTTTGTGCAGAATGCACAAAGATGTAAATTAAGTGTGAAAAATGCAATACTGTGTTTAGAATATGAAAAAGACTTTAGCCAGTTAGGCTCAGAAAGTAACGAAGGAATGAAAAACAACGAATCGGCCAATAACAGGACTATAAATTTATTTAGTCCACGGATAAAGAGTAGTTTGCAAATGAGCGGTGTCAAAGACAGTTAGGAATTGTATTAGTTTCTCTTTACACTGTAAAGTGATTGGTCGAGAATTTTGCTTCACCTGTCAGCTACTCCGAAGCAATTAGATCCAGTCGCGACTTTACCGATAAACAAACAAAATGACTTTCTTTCATTTTTCTCTCTAAATAATCAGCTGGTAAAGTTAAAAAATTTGTCCACTATAGCAAATAGAGAGTGTTGAATTCAGGTAGAATTGAAAAAAGCAGAACCCTAATAATTCAACGTTTAAGAAAACTGAATCTGAATCTTGTGCCATTATACTAGACAAAAAGTGTTATGTGGTGCAATGTATTATGCAACCATCTATACGTGCAATCATATGAATACAGACGACTACGTGGCCGATTCTGAGAACACCTTCGCGAAGTTGAAAGAAATGACTAGGACGCAGCCAAACCAGTCGCCAGACACGTTAATCTCCCCACTTATTCTATAAAGCATATGGCAGTTTCCGGCCTTTCCCTACATTTAGGCAGCTCGGAAAGCCGCAAAACACAAGAACAAAAATGTTTCTTCCAAATCGGCACTCTTAATCCCACGGTATCAACGAGCGCTTTTCATTCAACTAATTTATTCTTGTTTTCTCGTCACCACATTTCCACTAATAGTGTAGCTCCATTGTCTACATATAAACCCACACACAACCCACAACTCCTTCAATCGCTCTGACGATGAGTTAACGCTCGAAACGTTAGCCTTTACACTCTTTACGGTGGCCAATTTATGTTTTCAACTCAGTTGTTTACACTAAATTACCTATATATATATATATATATATATACAAACAAATTAAATGAAAAATTAATATGAAATAAGAAATTAAATGATCTCTCAAAACGTTAAAATACATTTTTCTTTTCCCTGTGGTGGATCTGTACAGGGAGATCTGAGGAATCTGGGCATTCCTTGTCGATCGGTTAGTAACAACTGACTTTAGTGAGAATTTCCATAAGAGCGTTAACTTTATGCATCACTGATTTTTCTTAGAATGGCAGAGAGCACTAAAGTGGATCTGAGCGCGTGATTCGCAATCCGGATATCTGTGGTCTGACTCTAGCCAGCCTCCTCCTGGGAGCGAGGTTGGAGTCTAACGTCATTCTGAGTACATAGCCAACACGTCTTCCACCGACTGAAGTTATTAAGAAGCTACGTCATGTAATTTGAGGTCTCTAAAGGGAATCTTCTCTTTGGAATAAATATTTGTTTGCTGTGGTAGACAAACACTGATGAAAGTTCAAAGATAACAAAAAAAACCAGGATAGCCGAAAACAGCGGTGATTGGTGCAGGGTACAATTAAAAAAGTGAAAATTGAGTCTAAATTTTTCAAAACGGACTAACCGTCCGAGTGAAAGGCGTAGAGCTCCTTCTACTTTGTGTAATTAGCACAAACTGTATAGCCTTCTGTCTTTGCCTAAGTTAGTAAGTGCCCGGGTTATTGTTGACAAGGTTGAGACTTTTAGTCGAATGGACAACCATCAAGTCAAGTCAACTTAGTATTATTCTTTATATCAAAAACCGCACAACTAAATTCTAGAAGTCTATGCGTGATCGTAAGTAAGCAAAGGCTTTATTCAAAGTGGGTTATATTTAACTATAGTAAAAACACTGATGAACTCGTGGCACTTATTACACTATAAAGCGACCTAAAAATCCGTTTTGTATTTAATTCACAAGCTATACACTTAACAAGGTATAACTTTATTTAACTTATGCGTTGTGATCGATATTAGAAACGAACTGTTACTCTCTGAACCGATTGATGATGCCTCGCGTTATGTCCATGAGAGTGCGACGAATGGGTCTCATCTTCCAGCAGTATATAACAGGGTCCAAAGACGAGTTAAGGAAAAACATAGTCATTACATAGAGCCGAGCTTCGTAAAAAGAGATTAAACTTAAAAGGTGAGTTAGGAGTAAAAAAGAGAGAACATAGCAAGGCAAATAACAAATTAAGAACACAATACATACATAAAATGTCCCAAGAGCGGACTTACGAAGCTTCAAAAAGTTTGATAAGTCACCATTTTGAACTCCCTGTTGTACTTCTTGGATTTGAAGGCCTTCGATCTGGATTATGTGTCGCTTTAAGACTATATAAATCCTCCAGTAGACAATTACTACCACAATAAGGCAAACAGTCTTAATCACTAGCCCAATGACTTGTGAGCTGAAAAGCAATGGATTCCAAAAGACACTAGAAGAAATAATTGCGCTTAACAGCCATATTGATATCACCGCTGCAATGACGCGCTTGTGAGTTACAAGCTCTTGATATCTGAGATGAAGATGAACAGCTAAGAACCTGTCCACACCTATGGTTACAACATTAAAGAGCGAAGATACACAAAAGAATTTCATAATGGCCATCAATCTCTTATATGAAATGCAGTCGATACGTTTTCGATTTAACCAGCTGACTAGAATAAAAATATGGAGCGGCTGTGCCAACAAACCAACGCCGACATCGGAGGCAGCCAGGCTAAGTAATAATGTTCTCAAAGGTTTTGGCAACAACGCAGTTTTCCTTATCGCATGGATGGTAACGATGTTCAAAATGAAAGTTGTATAACACAAACAGCTGTTGAAGACACAATAAGCGACGAGTGCCGAACGAAAATCTTCAACATCCGTAGAGGTTCCGAAAAAAGATTTGTTGAGAAGGTCGCAAACGTTATCCGCCATGAGAGCTGAGTGTTAAAACTACTGTGACTCTGATAATTTCCGATTCTAAAACGGAAAATTTGAATTCATATGTAGCTGTCAATCACAAGCATATAACACAATCGAAGCCATCTGTACGTACAGTCAAGATGTCTTCAACTCCTGCATTTGAATTTTTGAAAAAAGCATCGAGCATCGCTTTAATTCAGCGTTCGTTAGAATTAATACAAATTATCTGTTTAATACTTCAAGACATTTTAACTAAACATGGGATTTATACCTGGAAAAAGTTATTTGAAGGAAGGCTGTCATTAACATATTTTTCATCTATCAAAATGAATAAACGAAACATTATAGTCAGTTAAATTAAAGAGCGCTTGACATATACTTCTTTATTATTAAGTTCGCCTGAAAACACTTAATACACTTCAGAGACCAAATATTTTATGGTTGATGAGGGGTGGGGAGAGAGACCCAAATAATTATTACGAATAAATTATGCACTCATTTGTGGCGGATCTCGGAGGTATTTAGAATCTTCGGCAAACTTACTAAACTGCGATAATACCGGTTTATTTTTTAATCGTTTTTGCGTAGCTTGGGAATATTTTCCGGTGGTAGATTATTACAGATAGCCCTCCCCCCTTTACAGACGCAAACCGCGTTCGGCTCTCACTTTGACTACCTCCTCACAAGTCCCGGATCCATTTCAGTTCATGAACAGCTGCACATAGCTCCGAAAAAGTCTAGCAATGGCCATGTAATATTTTTAGACATTTCAACCGAAAGAAATACAGATAACACATTTATCAAACAATCATTCTGCATCAAGCGCCAAACAAAAAGAATACAGGAGTTTGACTATTGTTTATGCTGACGACAGATGTAAATTAAAAATGAGGGCCGGCTTTTTGTGACATCAATAGATGTAAATTAAGTGTGAAAAATACAATATTGTGTTTAGAATATTAAAGACTTTAGCCTGTTAGGCTCAGAAAGTAACGAAGGAATGAAAAACAACGAATCGGCCAATGACAGGACTATAAATTTATTTCGTCCAGAGGTAAAGAGTAGTTTGCAAATGAGCGGTGTCAAAGACAATCAGGGATTGTATTAGTTTCTCTTTACACTGTAAAGTGATTGGTCGAAAATTTTAGTCCATCTGTCAGCTACTCCGAAGCAATTAGATCCAGTCGCGACTTTACCGATAAACAAAAAAATGACTTTCCTTTATTTTTCTCTCTGAATAATCAGCTGGTAAAGTTAAAAATACATATATACAAACAAATTAAATGAAAAATTAATATGAAATAAGAAATTAAATGATCTCTCAAAACGTTAAAATACATTTTTTTTTCCCTGTGGTGGATCTGTACAGGGAGATCTGAGGAATCTGGGCATTCCTTGTCGATCGGTTAGTGGCAACTGACTTAAGTGAGAATTTCCACAAGAGCGTTAACTTTATGTATCACTGATTTTTCTTAGAATGGCAGAGAGCACTAAAGTGGATCTGAGCGTGTGATTCGCAATCCGGATATATGTGGTCTGACTCTAGCCAGCCTCCTCCTGGGAGCGAGGTTGGAGTCTAACGTCATTCTGAGTACATAGCCAACACGTCTTCCACCGACTGGAGTTATTAAGAAGCTATGTCATGTTATTTGAGGTCTATTCAGCTCCAAAGGGAATCTTCTCTTTTGGAATAAGTATTTGTTTACAGACAAACACTGATGAAAGTTCAAAGATAGCAACAAAAAAAACCAGGATAGCCGAAAACAGCGGTGATTGGTGCAGGGTACAATTAAAAAAGTGAAAATTGAGTCTAAATTTTTCAAAACGGACTAACCGTCCGAGTGAAAGGCGTAGAGCTCCTTCTACTTTGTGTAATTAGCATAAAATGTATAGCCTTCTGTCTTTGCCTAAGTTAGTAAGTGCCCGGGTTATTGTTGACAAGGTTGAGACTTTTAGTCGAATGGACAACCATCAAGTCAAGTCAACTTAGTATTATTCTTTATATCAAAAACCGCACAACTAAATTCTAGAAGTCTATGCGTGATCGTAAGTAAGCAAAGGCTTTATTCAAAGTGGGTTATATTTAACTATAGTAAAAACACTGATGAACTCGTGGCACTTATTACACTATAAAGCGACCTAAAAATCCGTTTTGTATTTAATTCACAAGCTATACACTTAACAAGGTTATAAATTTATTATCATATCGACAAGTACAAATACATACATTAATTGATGACAACCTTAAAATGATTCGAGTAGCGAGGAAGCTTTCTAGTTATTTATAAATTTCTCATACAAAATGCGCTTGAAACTAGCAACTGATACTTTCTTACGCTTGACTCTATAAAACTCCATTGCGTAATTTTCCTAACCGTTAAAGTTCGTCATCCATTAGTTTTCCTTAGGTACTTTTTACAAATCAAGTTTTACATTACCGTGGCCGAGGCTTTTAACTTATGCATTGTGAATCGGTATCAGAAACGAACTGTTATTCTCTGAACCGATTGATGATGCCTCGCATTATGTCCATGAGAGTGCGACGAATGGGTCCCATCTTCCAGCAGTATATAACAGGGTCCAAAGACGAGTTAAGGAAAAACATAGTCATTACATAGAGCCGAGCTTCGTAAAAAGAGATTGAACTTAAAAGGTGAGTTAGGAGTAAAAAAGAGAGAATATAGCAAGGCAAATAACAAATTAAGAACACAATACATACAAAAAATGTTCCAAGAGCTGACTTTCGAAGCTTCAAAAAGTTTGATAAGTCGCCATTTTGAACTCCCTGTTGTACTTCTTGGATTTGAAGGCCTTCAATCTGGATTACGTGTCGCTTTAAGACTATATAAATCCTCCAGTGGACAATTACTACCACAATAAAGCAAACAGTCTTAATCACTAGCCCAATGACTTGTGAGCTGAAAAGCAATGGATCCCAAAAGACACTAGAAGAAATAATTGCGCTTAACAGCCATATTGATATCACCGCTGCAATGACGCGCTTGTGAGTCACAAGATCGTGATATCTGAGATGAAGATGAACAGCTAAGAACCTGTCCACACTTATGGTTACAACATTGAAGAGCGAAGATACACAAAAGAATCTCATAATCGCCATCAATCTCTTATAAGAAATGCAGTCGATACGTTTTCGATTTAACCAGCTGACTAGAATAAAAATATGGAGCGGCTGTGCCAACAAACCAACGCCAACATCGGAGGCAGCCAGGCTCAGTAATAATGTTCTCAAAGGTTTTGGCAACAACGCAGTTTTCCTTATCGCATGGATGGTAAGGATGTTCAAAATGATGGTTGTATAACACAAACAGCTGTGGAAGACATAATAAGCGACAAGTGCCGGACGAAACTCTTCAACATCCGGAGAGGTTCCGAAAGAAGGTTTGTTGAGAATGTCGCAAACGTTCTCCGCCATGAGAGCTGAGTGTTAAAACTACTGCGGCTGTGATAATTTCCAATTCTAAAACGAAAAATTTTAAGTAATATGTAGCTGTTAATAACGAGGATAGAACACAATCAAAGCCATCTGTACGTACAGTCAAGATGTCTTCAACTCCGGCATTTGAAGTTTTGAAAAAAAGCATTGAGTATCGCGTTAACTCACCGTTAGTTAGAACTAAAACAAATTATTTGTTTAATGTTTCAAGACATTCCAACGAAACATGGGAGTTATATCCGAAAGAAGTTATTTAAAGGAAGGCTGTCATTAACATATTTTTCGTCTATCAAAATGAATAAACAAAACATTATAGTCAGTTAGACTAAAGAGCGCTTGAAACATGTTACCTTATTTCTAAATTCGTCTGAAAACATGGAAGACATCTTCAGAGACACAACATTTTTACATATTCCAACCGAAAGAAATACAGACAAAAGGAAAAGGAAATTATAAAGCCTTATGAAGGTTATAAATTTAAATAAATTAAGATTAAGAACTAGTTAATATTAAAATATAAGAATTTAACAATGTAGTCACCAAGTAAAATGTATAAAAATGTATAAAAATGTATAAAATGTATAAAAATGTATAAAAATGTATAAAAATGTGTAAAAATGTATAAAAATGTAAAAAATGTATAAAAATGTATAAAAATGTATAAAAATGTATAAAAATGTATAAAAATGTATAAAAATGTATAAAAATGTATAAAAATGTATAAAAATGTATAAAAATGTATAAAAATGTATAAAAATGTATAAAAATGTATAAAAATGTATAAAAATGTAAAAAATGTATAAAAATGTGTAAAATGTTAAAATGTATAAAAATGTAAAAAATGTATAAAAATGTATAAAAATGTATAAAAATGTAAAAAATGTATAAAAATGTATAAAAATGTAAAAAATGTATAAAAATGTGTAAAAATGTATAAAAATGTAAAAAATGTATAAAAATGTATAAAAATGTATAAAAATGTATAAAAATGTATAAAATGTATAAAAATGTAAAAAATGTATAAAATGTATAAAAATGTATAAAAATGTATAAAAATGTATAAAATGTAATCATTAAAAACAGTAAATATAATCAAGGATAGATCCTCACCGCACTAGAGTCCCGTGAGATCTAATGTTTTTAAGTAATTTTTAAAAGTAGTAAATGTTTGTATCTTTCGAGACTCGTCCGGTAAAGCGTTCCATAATTTCGATGCAGCATATCTCCATGATCTTAACCCGAAGGTTGTTGATTTTACTTTTGGGAGGTCCAGTATTGTGGTGCCCCTAAGGTTATAAGTGGAGCACCTTACTGATATAAGATCACGTAAGCTTTTTGGACCTGCATCACTGGCTAATATCTTAAAGACAATACTTTCGCTAATCGCTGTTCACGAAGACTTGAGAGACTGATACGCTTACAAAGTTCCTCATAAGGCGAGGACTTATCTCTAAAAACAAAACGGAGCGTTTATGCCAGAAGAAAACTTTTATGTGGTGCTATAAATAATGGAATAACCTATATGCGCCATCATATGAATGTAAATGGACAGAACTTCCATATGGTACTGTTTGCAATGAGGTGAGAAGGGATTCCTACCTTTACGCCCGTGAATAAGACCCACTCAAATGAAAGGTGCTTTGGGGTTCCAGCTTGGTGTGGATGACAAATTAGTGTTTGACTATTTAAATGAAAGCTATAGCGTAGGATTTTAATGTGGTACAGTTTATCGTGCAGCATAAGGTGGTTCCGGCTTGGATAACATCCTGTATTTTTACTGCTCGAATCATGGAAAGCTATTTAGCAGTTCTACCATGTGCACAGTTTATCAAGCACCACCAAGTATTTTTGAAGTCTGTGGATCAAACACTAGCGTTTGACCATTCAAATGAAAGCCACGGAGAATTATTTTTAAGGTGTTTTATGTGTTTCAGTTCATTCTATTCTTCAAGGTGGTTTTCACCACAAACCTTTGAGTTTAGCGGGCCGTACAGTGATGTACAGCCTGCTAAATTGACCAGTTATAGCCCAAGTACTAACCGAGAGATATAATAATGTTAGTTATCTAGACCGTGGCATAACGGTGTAGCTCGCACTCGGAATGAGACGGTGAATTGCAGAATGCATATCGCTCTCACGGTCCAGAATCACAGCTTAGATTAGTGTATACTTTTTGTAGTGAGTCCATTATAGCGTGTCGAATTTGTCTCACCCTCCAGCCGTAAATAACAGGGTTTAGTGATGAATTGAAGAACACAATCGTATGTCTATAGGGGGAAAAGTTTTTATTACAATATTGGGGCCGGTAATTACACGGGCAACCAAAAGGATAATGCGAGGAAAATATCAAACCAAGAACGCAAAGTAAACGTATACAACACCGACAGCAGTTTTCATCATCCTTGCAAAATTCCCCATCTCGCTATTTTTTTTAGCTTGTGCCTCTTGTTCTCGTACTTGCTGAATTGAATGAGTTATATCTGCTTCTCGTTGGATTAATTTTCAATGTACTCTCAACTATTGTGCTTAATTTGAAAACAGTTCCTCCTATCAATGACGTGGTGCAGCTTAGGGAATTAAGAGTACTTTTTAATATTACATTTCGTGGACACTAACTCGAAGGTAGATCTTTACATCTAGAGAATTACAGGATAGAATGTCTTCGAAATTTCTCTTGATAAAACATTGAGGCGAGGTACGTCGAGTGCATTGAAGAGGCCGCCAAATATTACCCTTACCTGCACTGGTTTTGTAACACGCTCGACGTATGAATTCGAAGTTGACAGCTGTTGTATTTTCTTTTCATTCTACTGACAATGCCATTTGCGTTGATTTGAATAATTGCATGACTTAATTCATTTTTAGTATTCGTCTAATCTTCATGTGCGGTATCCAAATTAACGGAAACGGCCTCTTTATTAGAAACGAGGGATTAGAAGTAAAAGACAATAGCTGTTTACTTTAATATCATACAAAGAAAAACCTGAGATAAGGAAGTAGAGAAAAAAACTTTTCGTCGTGTTTTCTTTTCTTAAGAAGCCTTGTAATTTTATTTCAAGTCATTGTAGTTCCAAAGAGACTTCTTCTGCCCTCCCCCCCTCCCCGTGAAAAGTCGGAAAGCTTGCTTCTCAAGCATAGTGATGACTTCCTTGAAAGTGGAAGCCTTAACTCTTTCTTTTTATTGGCAGACCTCGTAAGTGCGCATTTACTATGTCACGGTAACTAGATACCGTTCAGTTGACGGTGTGATTTACAGAGGTGTCGCTCCATTGGATGTTCGCCACCTTCCAGTTCGCCCCAATCAAAAGAGATCGCTCCTCCACCAAAAGCTGCTCAAATGACCTGACCGGGGCTGGTGGTATAACGATTATCACAACTAAAATTTGAACGGGCGGTTCATGAGGAACACAAGAGCTTACAGTGGTGTTGGCTGGGTTCGATTTAAACATTACCTCTCATTAAAGTTTGTAAAAAGGGAGATGAGAACTCAGTCCTCCCTGAAAGAAAAAAGAATGAAAGGGAGAAATGAGACAAACCTTTTTGCACAAATTCGTGAAACAATTTTGAGTGCATTTATAAAGTATTTCTGACAAAAAATTGTAACGCGTAACTGTTTCGTCCACAAACGTAAGAGCTATACCGTTATGCCCTGCTCTAGATAAATATATGTTATCACCTAAACTGCGGTGTTATACAGGGATTTTCGGCCTGAGAAAAGCCGTAACAACACACGTGAAATCAAAGTGCTCTGTGAGCAAACTCGTGAATTGACACATGACTTTTTTAGACTATGTTTAATGTTATCTGGTTTAGGGAATTTTGTGGTTGATTGTCATATCTAGAGTACGAGCAGTAGTTCAGTGTTCGCTAATGTAGCAAAGAAACAAAGTAACGTTGGGATAAGAAGGCATTACAATTGAAATGATCAAGCTATTACATTTGACAAGGTGGATGATGTCATGTGTTTTAAACGTCTATCATTTTTGTTTCTGGTTTAAAAGAAAAGGTTGGAAGTAAATGTGGGTGAAAAGTGAAATTTACTGTCTTTCGTTGTAAATATTAGAAAATCAAGGCAAGACTGTCTTAATGAAAACATTAACGATTCCCTTTTTATCAAATGAGACAAACGGGAACGAGTTTTGAGTGATATAACTAAGCCAAGCCTGCCACCGTCATTTTGGATCTCCGCCTGAGTAGATTTAAGTCACGTGCTAGGCAACGTATAATCAATAACAAGATAGAATTTCATTTCAGGCCTATTTATCAATTTTGTGGTGTGTAACTTTCGCATTTTAGTACGTTGTATATATGTTGAATCTTCAAATTGTCTTGAAACTTAAAAGAAAATTGTTCTTTAAAAATTCACTGAAAATCGGTAGCTAAAATTGTTTGTTTAGGTGTTATTTGATTTTCGTGTTAACTTGTTATTTCGTCAGTCGCCGGCATCTTCTGTTGCTTCACACAGGAAAAACACACGCGACGAAACGTAA